TCAGATTCAAGTTAGTGCAACACAGACAAAGATCCAATGTCAAAGGATACACAACAATATCTTTGTACTAACGGGGTAAAGGTGATTTAGAATAGTGTTTGAAATACTCTCTTTAGTGATGCCATGCCAAAAAAGAGTGGGGAATGGTACCTGTAATGGCAGCCTGGCACAGAAAAACCAAATTCACCACATTCTAAAACTTTCTTTGGAAATTACCTAGGGGCTCAAATCCTCACAAAGATTTTCTATGTCACAGTTCAGCAATAGATATTTACTAGTTGGATTTATCTGTGTTGTTTTTGTTGTTTTAATGCTACATCACAAACATTTGCTACATACATGTGTTATGTAGCATTAAAACTATATTTAATGTAGCTAATAAGTATACGTAAGTCCAGTTCAAAAAATTAGGCTCAAGTAGTTAAAGAACAACTTATGCTCATAAAAAAATGGTTTTATGTATTTTGCGTATTTTGAATATTTTTTCTTAATCACATTTTTTACAGTATTAAGTCATTCAACAAACAGTCAATAAATAATAGTTAAGTGATAACCGTGTGCGGCACTCAGTTAAGTACTGGTATGCGGCTGTGGAATAAGCAATAGAACCTCTGACTTCAATGAGCCCATATCTAGAACAGAAGTCAGCAAACTGTAAAAGGGCAGACAGTAAATATCTTAGACTTTTGTTGACCGTATGGTATTTGTTGCAATGACTCAACTCTGCTGTTGTAGCACAAAACCAGCCACATATAATACACAAATAAAGAGGTATGACTGTGTTACCATAGACATTTCTATATAAAAAAAAAAAAAAAAAATAGGCAGTAGCGCAAATCTGGCCCATGGGTCTTAGTTTGCCAATCCATGTTCCAGGGGATGAGATAGGCATTAAACAAGTAAAAACTTGATATAAACACAAATAGAGTGTCATGTGGTAAAATACTGAGAGATGGTCAAGAAGACTATCTTAGAGCGGGTGGTTTGGAAAGGTTTTACTGAGGAAGTGACATTTCAGATGAGACATGAAGAATGTTCACTGTTTGCCAATCCACACTGCGACAAAGGCTCTGCAGCAGAATGACATTTGTGTAGGTGATGCCCTAAAACAGGCCAGGTGGCAACAGATATAGGGCCTGTTCTAAGTAAGGGGAAGGAGATGGTTAAAAAGAAAAGGTTGCTACCATCCAGACTGAGTACTATGTTCCGATGGAATGAGGCAGTTTAAAAAATAACTGTACACACATAAATGAGGTAGAAAATTTCAGATCATAAAAAGTGTTATAGAGAAAATAAAACAGGCCGGGCGAGGTGGCTCAAGCCTGTAATCCCAGCACTTTGGGAGGCCGAGACGGGCGGATCACGAGGTCAGGAGATCGAGACCATCCTCGCTGACACGGTGAAACCCCGTCTCTACTAAAAAATACAAAAAAACTAGCCGGGCGAGGTGGCGGGCGCCTGTAGTCCCAGCTACTCCGGAGGCTGAGGCAGGAGAATGGCGTGAACCCGGGAGGCGGAGCTTACAGTGAGCTGAGATCCGGCCACTGCACTCCAGCCTGGGCGACAGAGCGAGGCTCCATCTCAAAAAAAGAAAAGAAAACAAGTTCATATGATAGTATGATTGAGTAGCAAGGGATGTATGAGCATGACACATTTGACCTGAATATAAAGAAGAATACAGCTTTGAAAACACATGAAGGGAGGGAGTTCCAGCCTGAGGAAACAGTAAATGACAAGGCTCAAAGATAAAAGGAAGCTTGGCATGATATAGGGTCAGAACAATGGCTGAGGTGGACACAGCGTCTTTTGGAAGTGGTGACATTTACTGTGATATACAAGATTGAGGGAGGAGCAGAACTAGAAAGAAATGTCATAAATTCTGTTTTGGTTTTGTCGAGTTTTCATTGCTTCATAAACATCTAAACCAAGATCTACAATATGCAGTTGAATACATGAGCCCAGGGCCCAAAGCTAAGAAAAAGGCTAGGGCTGTAAGTGTAAATTTCGGAACATGTTTTAAATGTGGAAAGTCAATGTCTTTGGGCATAGTGAGTTATGAAGACTCTGGCACAAGAAATTAGAAAGGTAAGCAGAGTTATCTCATGTAGGGCCTTGCATGCCATATGTTAACTAGGTTATATTTTATTCCAAAAGTACTGAGAAGAAATTGCATTATGTTTAAACAGGGGAGTCATATGATTCAGTTTCTAGGAGATTGTCACTATTTGTGGATTTCCTATTTGTGAATTTGTCTACCCATACCCACGAAATCTATACTCACAGCATTTGTATGGTCACTCACAGACATACACAGGTAGTGAAAATTTGAGTCTCCAGATGCCCGTGTGCCCAGGTGAGGCTGAACAAGGTCATGTTCTACTTTCTTACTTCAGTTCTCATATGATGTAAGTTTTCTTTTTGTGGTCTATTTAGTGCCACATTTACCTCATTCTTTTGCTTTTTGTTGCTGATTTTGTGGTTTAAAATGGTGGCCAGTCATAATACTGATGTGCTGTCTAGTGTTCCTAAGTGCAAGATGTCTGTGATGTGCCTTAAGGGACAGATATCTGTGTTAGATAAGTTTTATACAAGCATGAATTATGGTGCTGTTGGTCCTGAGGTTCAAAGTTAATGAATCAATGCTATATATTAAATAAAGTGTCTTTAATAGAAACACACTTAAAACAAGATGATGTATTGACTGGCTGATAAAAATTTTGCAGCCAGAAAATCTGCAGGAACCTACCCTTGTGTTTCCCCAAGGAGCAATTGGTTCCATATTCGCTAATTCAGTGTTTGCAGCAACGTTTGCAGCAACTTCCTAAAACATAACTACCTTTAATAAAGAGGATTGACTGAGTATCTCAAAAAGGCTACACTGAATGGCATAATGAAATAGTTGGGTTTATTATAAGGAAGCTTTTCCTGTAGTTGTGTATAACATTGGCAGAACTTCTTTAGGGAACAAGAAAGAAAAGTAATTTCTTTTTCAAATGGCTGTGTTTAAAAAAAAAATCAACCAGTAATTGAGAAATTTTAGCACACAGATTATGCATACCTGTTGGATTATTTTATCTGTCATTAAATAAAACGTAAAGTGCAGTTTTAGTTGGCTTTTCCTGTCCTGGTCTTGAAATCAACAAATACAATTATATACATGTGTGAAACTAAAGCCAAGGGCTTAGCACAGTGCATGACGAATAGTCTTTCCTCCGGGAAGTGTTAGCTGCTGCTGCTGCTGCTGCTGCTGCTGCTGCTGTTTCCAATGCCCTACACAGGAATGTCCTATTTCTACCCTGAGATGGCATTCCTGAGGAACAAAGGTGGCAACCCAAGCAGATTAACCAAGATATGTTCCCTAAAGGTAGTTATGATCGAGACAGTCTCTGCTCATGCCTGTTGTTTCAGCCAGTATCCCATTCTGTTGGTGGTCCCTTTATTGGTACAAAAAATTATTTGCTCATGCTATGCAGAGATGTTTCAAATATAAAATTATGAAATATGGATTTAGTGGTGGAGCAGCTGCCACTTAGCCTCAGAATCAGTTAGACAAGGGGCTAGGGATTGGGGAGTGTTCTAGGCCAGTGTGTTCTAATCAGGAACAGAATGGGAGGTGGCTGTCTTAGAGTCAAAGAGAGATGTTGGAGCTAAAAGTCAGAAGAGTAGGAAATTTTCAGAGAAGGATTTTGGCAGTGATGGAGCAGAAAATATGTTTACAACAGCATCATGGGGAAAAGGAAGTAACAGGAATGCTGCAGAAAGTTGAATTTGGAGAGAGTTAGCAAATCACAAAACGGAAAAAGCAAATTTTTTAAAATGTGAAAAAAAGAGAGTCATAGATATATAATGAAAACAGAACGGATTACATAAATGTAAACATAAAATGTTGATTTCATTCTTGACTTTATTTCTTCAATTCTCTTTATTTCCTGTCATTCTCTACTTTTCCTTCATGATTTAAATTATTTTAGAAATCCGTTATTTAATATCTAAGCTGACAGTGATCCATTCCATCCTCCCTTGCATCACACATCTAGTCCCTTTGGTCACGCAAGTTCTTCCTTCTCAATGTCTTATTTTTCCCCAATCCCTCCTGCTCACACTCTTGCCTGAACTATGTCAGCCACCCTCAATTCTTTGCCTCGTCGCTGATATCTCTAAAGTCATACCTTATAGACATTTTTAAAAAGTAAATTAAAGATTTTCTAAAAATGTGTTTGTTTTACTTTTCTCTTTCGTCTTTATATCTATCTGTTGAATATTGTACTAATCTCTTTATCATTCTGGAACCCTGTTTTCACTCTCAGTCAGCTCTTATTCTCTGTTCTCTTCTTGTTAGTTTTATTTTTCTTTTCCTGTTTTTTTCTTTCCTTTTTCTTTGTTTCAATTGGTCAAATAAAGTACAATTTTAATGTTTCTTCTTTTTTTCTTATGTTCCAAAATTTTAGTGAATTGTTTGTTTTCTTTAAAAAATAAAATTTGCTATAATATTAACATTTACTAAGAAGACTTGCTGTGTGTGTGTTCTGACTCCTGTCCAACTCTCTTGCTGCATCTAAAGCCACTATTTACTAACCTGTACCCAATCCAGAGCCTTCTTTCAGTTTCTCCCTAGAGCAAGCTCTTGCTAATTTCAAGGTTTGTCAAATAACAATTCCTTCCTCTTTGAATACCTTTTCATAGTCTTCATTACTCTTAGTAATTTCTTAGTTTAAACCTCACTTCCTCAAATAGGTCTGCCCTGACCAGACCAATCAATAGATACTCACTGATTACTGTGATCATTAATATTGTGTGTCAACCTGATTGGATGCAAAATATCGTTCCTGCATGTGTCTGTGAGGGTGTTGTCAAAGAAGATTAACATTTGAATCAGTGAACTGGGAGAGGCAGACCCACTCTCAATCTGGGTGGGCACCATCCAATCAGCTGCCAGCACAGCTAAGAAAAAATCAGGCAGAGGAAGGTGGATGGGCTAGACTGACCTGAGTCTTCTGCATTCGTCTTTCTCCATGCTGGATGCTTCCTGCCCTTGGACATCAAACTTCAAGTTTTTCAGATTTTGCACTCTTGGACTTATACCGTTGGTTCGCCAGGGGCCCTCAGACCTTCAACCACATACTGAAGGCTAGACTGTCGGCTTCTCTATTTTTGAGATTTTGCGACTCAGACTGGCTTCCTTGTTTTTCAGCTTGCAGACAGCCTACTGTGAGATTTCACCTTGTGATTGTGTGAGTCAATACTCTTTACTGAACTCCCCTTTATATATACACCTATCCTATTAGTTATGTCCCTCTAGAGAAACCTAACTGATACAAGTACTTACTACACAGCAGAATTTGTCTTAGACAATGCGAATACAGCAGTGAGTATATCAGACAAAAACCTCTGCCCTCATGGAGTTTAAAGGGTAGTGGGAAGACAGACAAGAAAGCAAGAAGTAAAATCCTGTTGTGACAGATGGTCTGAGTCACAGGAAACATAAGGAAGGAAAGAGAATGAGAAAGACCGGTGTGTTTGGAGGTTGTACGTTTCAAAATGTTCTTCAGGGAAGGCCTCTGTGAAAAATTAGTTCTCTACTAAAGACTCAAGAATGTGAAGGCATGTGCCACATGGAAATATGCAGAAGAGTATGGCAGGATGAAGAAATGAGTAGTCCAAAGGCAATGAGGAGAAAAAAGCTAGGAAATGCAAATAGCTGGAGCCTGCTGAGCAAGGGCAAGTGCAGCAGAAGATGAGGCCAGGCAGGCAACTGGGCACCAGGCTAGGATGACCTTAGGTTCTAACCCTGATTGAGATGAGAAGCCATGGACACTTTAAGCAGAGTGACATGCTCTGTATTACATTTGAACCACATTACTCTGACAGCTGGGTTGAGACCATACTGAGGCAGAGCAAAAGTAGCCTAAAGGAGCACTTCTCACTCCTCATAAAGTGCATTATTATGTATTCAATTTTACATTCATTTATTTAGTATCATCTCTCTCATCTGTTGAAATATATTCACCATGAGGACCAGAACAAAGTCACTTTGTTTACAATATCTCTTCTCCCAACAGGTGTTGAGCCTGGGTTTTTGGACACATAGTAGGTACTGAATAAATAATTGCTAGTGAAAATATTAAACAATCCTATGATGCATTATTTCCAACTTAGAAATAGATAAACTGCACTTCTGGGAAGTTAGATTGCCCAGGAAAGTGGGATAATGGGAATTGAATTCTTTTCCATTTCCAAAGTCAAATGTTTTAAATAAATACAATATTCTGTTAATAGTTTATATATATTTTCTATAAAGATTGTAATCAATACTTGAGTTATAAATTAACGGAACACATTAAAATTCAAGTAACTCTTTTTGATTGCCATTTTAACTAGGAAGATTCACACTTCTTATCATAGCTTAACATTGCATTTCCCAATATTATTCATGGAGTGTGAGTCCATTATATGAACTACATATATATGGAAGAAAAGAAAAAAAAAAAACAACAATCTTCCCTCTTCCTTTCACAATGATGGAATACGTTTCAAAAACAACTGTGGTTTTTGTTTATGGCAGCATGAAGATCTCTAGGGATTTGAATCTTTACAGTATATCTTGGACTCAGCGAAGGTAGAATAGAATCACATTTCCAGGAGGTTACCTAATATCATAAAAGGCTTTTGCTAAATCTCAAGTGATCTGCAGTAACATTTTACTGCTCCGTTGCTATAGCTTTCCACATGTAAGTGTATATAAGCTGTTTGAGAGTCTTCAAAAGTGAACTTCGATGGACAATACATCATTAGTATACCTTTCCCATTAAAAGAAAAAAATGGTTAACGTGTTTCACCAATGATGCCCAAAATTCTGAGATTTTTTTTCTATTTTAAAAAATGTCATTCCAAACTAAGTTAAATTAATCTGTTTTTTAAAAGTAATTTTAAACACAAAATCTTTCAATAATATGTTTGTCTGTCTAAAGCAAAACATCAGTTGAGCAGTCTTTTAAATGGAAAAATGGGAAGATGTGATAACATGAATTCCAGGAATTTCTCATAAAAATGATATAATCTTATCCAGAATATTCATGTGTTCCTATGTTTCAAATATTTGCTTTGAAGGAGGAAAATAGTAGGAATGGTGGAAAGAAATGCTTTCTACCAACATCAAAGATTTCTTCTTCAGAGTCTTGAAGCTACCACAAATACAAGCTAACCTCAAACTAAGAAATTAACCTATATGATACGGTCTGCCTTGTGAGCAATGAAATAATGCAGTTTTGTTATGATGTTTCTTTAATTTAGAACATTAGTTACCAGTCAGATACAAGTTTCAGGGAAATAATACGTAGTAAGAATTGTTTATAATTTATTTTCTTTATCTTCTGTTCAAGAACATGTTAGTAACTGTAAATAAGACCCTGATAATACAAATTTCATTTTAGCAAACCTTATTTTCCCCCTATAACACACTGAAGCTCTGTAATATACAAGCTAGTCAATTTTGGCAATTCAACTCACTATAAATTGAACTAACAATTAAACTAATCTAGATATTTATCATTTTATGGCAAACATTCAGATAGCTAATTGCATATTTCAAATTAAATTTATGTTTTCTCTGAACACGCTTTTAGGTTTATTTTAAAGTTTATAAAGTGGTCATTTCAGACTTCTGGAGTTTATTTTTCCTGTTTAAAAATTAGTCAGAATAAATGAAGCATACAGTAGGAATTATCCTGGAAACATATAGTTCAAAGAAATTTCTGGAGACGTCGTTGTAGCCCTGCAGAGCTTTTCTTTGTTGCCTACAAGGTTTCCCCCAATTAAATATTCTATCAGTGCTGTGGGCCTACCAGTATTTTTATAGCTTCTGATACCCGGGATCTGGTATCTGCTTCTGTCATAGTTCTATTTATTTCTTCTGTATGCCTTGCCACTTAGGAAGAAAACATATTTTATGAAAAATACTTTTCTTCTACCCTTGGGAGCCCCAGAGAGAGAAGCACAAGGTTGGGATGGCCTGTAACACATTGTTTATGGCAGTATCCACAAGTAACATTTTGTATGTCTACATATGGTACAAGTCTTATTTTAATTCAGCCCTTGGGACTTCAATCCAATAATGCTGCCAAAATATACTCTTCTAAGTTCAGTGATAATAGAGTCTGAGGACAGCACACTTCCAAGCTTTCCAGCTTATAGACGGCTTAATTTTTGTACATATTTTATACATATGCATAGTAAAATATATGTAAGTAGTATTTGTTACTTTATTCTATGCTTAAGCCTGAACTCTGATGTGGTAAGTTAATGTCTGTTTACTTTTACTAACAGAATTATGTCTTAACTATTTTGGTGTGTTTTTCTTTTGTTTACAGTGCAACCAAATACAAGTGACATCTGTTAGGTGCTTGAACTTTCTCAAACACAGGTACACATTTTTTTTGGTAACTCAAATGCTTTTTTTACAAAGTGAAATATGGAATGTCCAAACACGTTGTAATGTCCCCTCAGAACTGTTGCTTTTTCTGGATCTGTTTCAGGGTTTTGGGCCCAAGCATAGAAAGGTGTCCACTGATTTTACAAGCCAAGCCTGACGTATGTTTTTTACAGAACTCTAGAATGGAGTAAAGAAAATTGTTCATATTTAGGTCACAACAATGCCTTGGGGAAGAACAAGTGTGCTCACTAAGTCTGTATTACACTTAATGCTCTGACCTCTGTGTCAAGGCTTTATTTTGTGTTTTTTTCTAGATTAGAGTGTTAATTATTACTACAAGTATATCACATATTTGTCTTTAAACCTTGAATGATTGTGAGCAGAGAAGCAGCCTGGGTTAACATAGCTCCCGTTAAAATGCAAACTATGTACAAGGTTTGTTTTTTTCTTCTCACTGCCATGTAATCAAAAGGAAGGACAGCAAAACCACTACAAATGACTTTGCAGTATTTTTTCCATGATGCCTTTAGTTTATTTCTGGCCTTAAGCTAGGTCAACAGTCACTTAAAATCATATTCCCCAAACTTGTCACTTCTTATTAAAAGCCTAAATAAGCCAGATGAAACAAAGATTGTTTTTATTTACAAAACATTTAGCTTCTCAATCCAAATCTAATAGTATTGAAACATTTTAATTCAAATATATTGGATGTAATTTTATTGCAAACTAACACAATTATTCATATAGATCAAATAAGACAGTATTTAAACAGAGCCACATCTATAGACTGAGTAATAGCAAATCCAATATTCTTTGCTTTATAGTTACAGCCTAAAATAGGTTATCTAGGCATTCCCCATTAATGTCAGTAATTCATTTCTGAAAATCAGAAGTTCTGTTTGAAAATAACTACTGGAGGTCCATTTCATATTGTATTAATGGGAGAAATTATAATGCATTGAGTGCCAACCTCTAATCTTCAACCAATTATCTAATATGAGTATGTGTAAGTAACAAAGTACCACGTTAGAACATTAAATGTTTTAAAACATTAATTCCTGATGATCAAAAGAATAATATGTGCTGTTTAAAAGAAGCAGTAGGTGCAGTACACTGTGTGGTTTGCACTCCTTACCATAAGCATTTAGTTTTGATAAGGCATGTCAAATGCAATATAATAAACATTTAGAAACAAAACGCAGTTATACAAAATATAATGAAATTATCTAAAAATATAGAATGACAAATGAAAACTAGGGGATTGTTCTGATCATCTCTTAATGCCTAATATTATTAACACTTACAGTTCTGTGGGTTGACTGGGCTCTGCAGGATCCTTCTAGCTTAGGGTTTTTCATGTGGTGACAGATGGAAGCTGGCATTGTAGTTATCTAAAGGTGCAGCTGGATTGGATGTCCAAGATTGTTCATGCACACAGCTGGCAGTTAATACTAGCTGTTGCCCAGGACCTGGAGCCATCAAGCAGAGCACCTACACCTGATCTTCTCATGGTATTGCGACTAACTTCATATAGGAAACATTCCAAGAAAAAGCATTTCAAGACGTCCAAGCAGAATCTGCAAGCCTTCTTATTTAGCTTCAGAAGTCCCAGAACATTATTTCTGTTTCATTCTCTTAGTGACAAGTTTATTTTAAGATCAGCTCAGATTTAAAGAGAAGGAGATTTAGATTCTACCTCTTGGTGTCAGATGCAGCATAAGCATGTGCATATAAGGAAAGAAAATAATTTATAGTGAGCATATTTGAAGATTGTCCACCACAGAAATTATCAAACTACAACTTCCAGGCAAAATCTATCTTACCATCTGGGTTTTTAAATACAGCTTTATCGTAACAGTGCCACACTCATTAGTTTACATATTGTCTATGTCTGTGTTCACTATATAAGGGCAGAGTTGAGTAATTGTGACAGAGAACATATGTCCCACAAAGTCTAAGGTACTATTAGGCAAAGGTTGCTGAACACTTCTTTAACAGCAATTTTCTGGAGCAAACGGTTATTAGCTGACTAGGGACTTGAAGCTTTAAGAAAAGTTCAGAAATAAGGTGGGAAAGAGAAGTAGATCAGTGTCACTGGGTGTGAAAGATGATGGTGTGGATGAGCCAAGTGAAAAAGGGAGAGTTTTAGGTAAACTATTAAGACTCAGAGCTTCTACCTTAGATTTTTCATTGTTTTGGTGTTCCTATTGACATTCCTAAGCAAAAAAATCTTAAAATATTTTTAGTGGGTTTAACAAAGTCTTTTGAATATTAAAACCAATGCAAAATACAGCTTTACTCACGTTCTTATTTGTGTGTATGTGTGTGTGTGTGTTTGGAATTATGTGAATGGTGTGTTATAAAGGACATCAGACCATTTTAAAAGGAAGGACACTCATGATACATTCAAGGACAATGCTTATTGTTGCATAATCCACATTTCTTCAAGCTAATGGTGTCTTGTGTTTTGATTGATTGCTCTTTTAGGTTTTTTACACTATGGTCTTCTTCACACTAGGTGATACTTAAAGGCTTTTCAAAGTTATGTCTTTGATTTCTTCTAAGCTATTTACTATTGCAAGAGGAAAACTTTTCCTTTTGGCATTGACTATCTTTTCAAAGCTTTTGAAATTAACAACAATTGCAGGATCTGTTTCTTCAATATTCTGTTAATCATTTGTAGAGATACTCATTGTCATGCCTTTTCAATGATTTCTAAAACTGTTTTTATGTAAAAGCATTTCCAAAGGCCTTTCAGTGAGTCTTCTTGATTGGCATTCACACTGTAGACCATATATTGTTTGCATAGGGAAATAAGCACGAGAAGCTATAAAGGAGGCAGTACCGTACTAGTTCACAGGATGCATTGGAGAGGTCCGTTTGGGAGAAGGAAAGCCAACTGAATGTTGTCACTACATATTACAACACTGTGTGGTTGTCTAGTTATATTGTCTATAATGTGTAAAGCCTTCTTCGTGAGGTTTTATTTGACTGTTTTCTCCTTCAGGAAGCACAGTTATTAGAATTGTATGTAATTTAAAAAAACCTTCTCATTAACTAGTGTTGATATTGAAACTCCAGAAACTTGATAATTTTTTTGAACATTTTTTAAGCACATGGAGATTTACAAAATGGTCATTAGAAAAGGTTGAAACTTAACTCCCAGCAATGAAGTTGATCTCTTCTGGAGGCTTTCTGATCCAATGCTTTCTTCTCCTCTAGTAAAATAAATACTGAGAAAGACATACACTTTCAAAGCTAAAATTTGTATTTCCTATAATTTTTTACATTGAATTATGCTCACTTGTATAGACTCCTTCATCGATACTTTTTAAAAATTAGATGGTAATGTGATGTTCACCTCACTGTCAGCTACAGTTGCCTCCCCTGTTGTCTTGATATTGTGGAATCTGGCTTAAATATACAGCAAAACTCAAGGCTTCCTCCTTCATTAATTTATCCTTCTCTACTACATTCTTCCTCTTAAGCTTCTCAAACATGTTCGCAGTCTCCCAGATCAACATAGTACAGAAAAAGTGTCTTGATCACTTTGGTTTAACATCTACTTTTCCAGGTTTATTCTAAGCTTTCCTAACATAGAACAGTGTATTATTTCCCTCACCGCACGTGTTGCTACCAAAGTGCTTTATGGCTTTTTTTTTTTTCACTGCTTATTATGATAGTACACAAGGTGATGATTAAATAGTGTAGTATGCACATGATGTCTTTGGTGGGCTGGCTGTCCATTGTTAAAACACTATTAACTTCATTTTCTCTTCTATTGTAATCATCCCTCACACTCTTTCCTAACTTTTTCATACTTTTTTTTTTTTCAAAACTTTTCCAAAGTTATGAAGACATTTTATAACATGAGACAAAAATAAAGGCTACATATAAGTGTACATTGTAAAAATAAGTTTAGGACATTGTATAGCTGAGGAAAAATAATTACACTAAGTGCGATCCTGTGATGACCGTCTTGGTGCTAGCAACAATTGATATTCACATCCCTTTTATTAGCACTCAAAATACCTTTTAAAATATCATGTGATTTTGCTATTTCACTGTTAGATTTCAAATGTAACATGAGATGTTACTTCTACATAATTTTGTAAAAATATTTCAGTTTGGAGATTTATACACCCACACACATGCACACACACCCCCCAAAATGACCTCCAAACTTAATATACACATATTTTATATATACATCCATGTTTAATAACTGTATGTATAAACTTCAAACTTGAATTAAACTTATATTTATATGTAAACTTTAAAAATTGTATATAAACATGTGCCCACATATGTTTACATATGTATTTAAACATATATGTACAAGTATATACATGTATGTATATATAATTTTTTCTTCAACAAGCATCAGTTGAAAAACCTATTACTGAGATATGTCCTAAGAAATTTTCATATTAAAAACTAGATGGTATTTCAGCAAGATTTATTACATATATGCCTACGTAAGTTTTGTTAACAAAGGAAATGTTTATGAAAAATGACAAATAATTTATTAAATTATATATAACCTTTACCTTACTTTATTTTAGATACATTACTTTCACTTCATTAGATATTAACATTTGTTGCACTCTCTAAAATAATCTTTTAAAAATTATTAAAGAGACATATCCTTTATTATACATAGAAGGAAAAATATATGTATAAATGCAACTAATTGTGCCAGTAATATCAGAGACTGAAAGTCAAAAAATCAGACTACGTTTCTTCTTTTTGTCAATCAAGTATTTTAACAGAAACCGTGGTAAATACCACTACCTGTCCACCAAATTCAATTTTTTTTTTTTTTTCTGTGCAGTAGAATTAGAGCCAAGCACATGACTGGACTCCATTCCCCATCCTCCCTGAAGGTGAATATGACCATATTACTAAGTTTATCCAATATTACAAAAGTCAAGGCTTCTGATAAGGGCATATGTGCCCATTCCACTCTGACTTTCTGCTTTGTCTCTCTGGAAGTGGCAGGTGACAATGTCACAGAAAAGGGTGGAGCCCGAAACTCCTTGTATTACCATATGAAAGATAGCTACCTACCAACAAGGAATGTCTATTTTGTTTCATTATGGGAACAATAAATAAATTCCTGCTGTGTTCATGTCATTAAGCATTTTGGGTTCTGGTTGTTACTACAGTTTAGCTTACCCTTACTATTACAGAAGTAATTTAATACATTGAAATTTTTGTGCAAAAACATCAAAGATTTGTAACTATTTTGCTTTTTCATTAAGAAAGTAAGAATTTAAAAATTCAGTCATCAAAAACATTAAGCATGTAGAGTTCTAAGTTTGTTATAACCTCTAAATATACTAACTCTTTATATCTTTATTTTGGCTACTTGGCTGGGAATATTAGCTATATGGTATGGTGACTACATTTTCTATCACTTTTAATTTTATTTTATACTTTTTTTGTGTTTATAGTTTCCCTCACAAAAACTATGAAACTCTTCAGGATCATATCATGTATGTTTTACAAATGATCCATCCCACCTAGTATATACTAGTTACATGTTAGGTTCATAACAGATGCCATAAATAAAATTGAGAACTTTGGTGTTTTTGTCATTATTCCCTCTCATATATACCAGTCTTTGTCCATAAGGTAATTCTATGAAAAAGGATAATGATATGTATCTCAAGTATTAAAGCAAAAATGCACAATTTTCATATGTTCTTTTCATTGTAAATGAAGATACGAATACATTTTTAAAAATTCGTTACAACACTGTTTTATCTTGGGGGTTGCTTTGAGATATTTAATATTTTTCCCTCTGATAGTTAACACAAAAGTTACAAAAAAAAAAAACAAGTGTGGATCTCAATGATCTCACACATTGTGTTATTTTAAATTACTTTATAACAGGGCATCATTATAGAATTAAAACAAAATGAACGTGAACAATATTATATTACTATAATAACAAATTCTAATTTTTTCAGCACAATATTTCAAAAATAAGCTACTTTGAGAATAAAGCAGTTAAAAATAAATTGAATAGATTTCAAATAATTTTCATTTAGGCAACTTTTCATTCTAACCATAAATAGTATAAGCATGCAAGCACAGGCTTTGAATGCATATATATGAAAATGAAATACTTACTTTTAAATAACCCAGCCTAATCACAATATTGAAAATAGTGATATATCATCAACCATTGAAACTGCAGTAAAACATTTTAATATTCTGAATTCATTTTATTTTTCATAAACTACATCACCAGTATTAATAATAATTATTAACTGGACAAAACAGGATCCACAGTATTTATTACTTTTTACATGGTTAAATCACCAGTTGAATCAATGCGGTTGTGAAATATAAACTGAATCATGTGCCTTTTCCCTCAAAGTTCTTATTTCATTCGTGGTTAACATTATCTTTTTGGTTTTTTTTTTTTTACTTGTTTTAAGGCTACAGTTAGAAACATGCTTATATAATCAAACACTGCCTAGTGTATTGGGTAACTATAAATAAACAATAATTCTTAGTTCTTTCCTTATGTCATCAAACACTGCATTTGATTATTA